ATCCATACCCAATCTGCTCAGCTATCTCATACTCTTGTCTGCTTTTAGGTGATGTTTGAAAACTCATCTCTTCAGGGAAGCCTACCCCGCCTCCACCTAATAACTGTATTTTTAGTATTTCTATCATCTCCCTCACAATTAATGCCTTTTGTATCACTTGCCCCTCCATTTAGATTGGGCCCTCCTATATTGAATTATATTTGAACGGTACTGCACAAACTGCTGGCACTATATAAATCCTGTATAATTTTTAGGGATGCACAGAAATTGCGGTCAAAACGTTTTGGCCAAAAATGGTAAGATGGCACCAAAAAAACATCCGTGGGCACCAGCTGCAAGCTTCGGTCTGTGTCCCCTCCGATCCCCACTCCTCTCCCCCACCAGAGCCGATCCAGCTGCCAGGACTCAGTGAGGAGGGCAGAACCTGTCAGGATGCCAAGCAGGGCAGTGTGGTAAGGAGAGCTTGGCTTCGGTAACAGGCGGGATGGGCAGAGCAGTCAGGATGGAGAGCAGAGCACAAACACTGAGCGATCAGAACTGACCACTCAGTATTTGTAAATAACTGAGGACATAGTAAGCTTACTATGTCCCCAGTTTTGAATGAACAGGAAGCACTATACCTCACTTTCAGTTCATTTTTGAATGGGGACTATAAATATTTACTATCTGCTCACTTTATGAATGAACAGAAAGCATCTCAGTACAGAGGCTTCCTGTCCATTCATGACTGGGTTGATAGTAAATATTTTTACTATCTCCAGATTGTGGATGGACAGGAAGCCTCTATACAGAGAGCTTCCTGTTCAATGAGTGCTGGGGCTGCAAAAAAATAATTACATTTATTTTTTAAAGGTTGGAAAAAAAAAGTAATTTTCAGTTTCTGTTTTGGCCTCACAAATTTAGAAATGTTGGTTTTCGGTCTAAAAATTTAATTTTGGTGCATCCCTATCTTGGCATTCAGAAAATATATAATGTTGGGGGGTTTTACGTCATTTTCAGGCCTAAAATGTGGAATATAACATGGGTGCAAAAAATTAAAAAAGGGCCTCAGTCATGAAGGGGTTAATAAAAATAATAATAACTTACTGCTTTCTGCAGGGAATCTATGAGGTTCTGTAGATCTATGTCATCACGATAAGCTTTGATGTTGTTTTCAAAAAATTCTTTGGCTCGGTCTCTCACCCAGTCTTGGAAAAGGAAGGCCAATACTGCTACAGCCAACTCCATGAAAAAGATGAGCACAATGGCACCACAGAACTGGAAGAAACATTAAAGACCTTATATCAGCATGAAGAGACAGTATAACAATAGCAGTTATGGTCAGAAGGGACAAAGAAAACAAAAAAGCCCTCATGTGCGTAGCACAGTAGAGTATTCTTAAAACATAAGGTATTCACCGGTCTCATTCACATATCCCAAAAATAATAGGGTTCCTGGATACAGGAATCTTCCCTGCCTCCTATTGTATTCTGACAGATGGAGCCTGTGGACGTCAGAATACCCAATCAGTGACTGCAACAAATTTCCACTTGATCTACAAATCAAGTTTCGTTAACCCAAATGGTACCAGCAGGGCCACCCATGATTTGAATTTAGATCAAGTCAGCAGGAAACAGACTAAATGTGATCATTATATGGAGCATCTTAAAACTGTATAACAAATTAGCTTTACCTCTGAGTAATCACTTTTTAATTAGCACCTCTATAGTATGTATTATGTTCCTTTCGACAGTGTCAGTGTAAAACCATTTTACCTCTTACCTGAGCTCAGTGCTGATAACAGACACTTAACAGATAACTGCCATACAATGAAGCTGCTGTCTAGCTTACATGAAAGAAGACTTTGTTCATTGAAGTACACACATAGAGAGACGCTAGATCTTCTATTATTAGTGTCCAGTGTTAGAAAGGACCCTTTCATTAGTTGAGTGGACTTGCTTTAGTGAGGCTGCTCATATATACCAGGACACCCCCTAAAGGAGGGAGTCTTGGAGAAACTCCAAATATACAAGAAGTAGTGAGAGCACCACACTATGGTATATACATATACACACATCACTAAGGATGTCCATAATCCCGTATATTTTCCCGTAAGAGCTCACTTAAATTATTTTTTTAAATGATCTACACTTTCAGCTGATACCACTAATGGTGGAAGTTCCAAATTTTTACTGCTATTACAGTCAAAAAAACACTTATGCTGTTTAAGATTAAACCGCTTCTTGTCCAACTTCATGCTGTGGCCAAGTGTCATCTTCAGAGTCCTTAGAATAAACAGCTTATTTCCTATACTGCAGTCCCCATTGGTAGATTTGTATATTGCAAATCACATACCCTCATCTCCAAGTTGAAATTAAACAAGTTCAAGTTCTGAAGTTGTTCCCCATAAAGTATGTCCTACACCCCCCTTATTAATTGTGGACCCGTGTTTTACAAATAGTAGCAGAATAACAGTTTTGCCTTTTGAGAAAATGAGCCATTTATCACTAACCTCTGGATTTGTTCCTGCAACAGGTTTTCTACCCATGTACATACAATTTCTTCAATGCCAATAGATCTTAATTTGACAATTAAGTGTTTGTGGAGTACTGTTATGAATGCTTTAGCAAAATCCAGATAAACTACATCCACTGGCCTTCCTCTATCTAAATTACTACTTACGTTCTTATAGAATGTTAATAGTTTAGTCTGAAAAGAACCGTTCTTCATAAATCCGTTCTGGTTGTTTCTTATTATACCATTATCGCAGACAAATTCCTGAATGTAGTCCCTAACCATGCCTTCCAATATCTTGCATACTTCTGTATGTCAGGGCTTGTGTATTGTATGATTTCAAATGTGGGTGGATGCAGCTCCATTTACATATTTACAACTATTATTACAATTTAAATGATTCCAGCCACATTGGAAATCTACAAGCCCAGGTGAAGGTGAATAATCGGAACACTTTCTTTCTACTCATTATTAAATAGGACATCACTTTGGACTTTTTTACCAATAGCCCCCATTCACACTAGTGTAGTACGTGAAAGTGTGCCAAATCATGCGATTTTGCACGCATTCAGTAAACATGTGAAAAATGAGTGTTGAGCTTGTGGTGCCATGCAAAGAAAAATGCAAAAAGAATGCACAGTTAAAAGCAGGCAAAGCTTGAAGCTCAAAAGGTGCATTAGCTTCTCCGATGCATTTGTGTTGCATTGGGCAACCCACTGAAATGAATGGGCTGCCCTATGTTCCCATAATGCAAAATGCAAAAAATCCAGAGGTGCGATGATGCGATTCGTAAGTGAATGGGGGCTTAGTGTCAGTTGTACGTTCCTCCAGTATTCCGTACAGAGTGTGCATTATGAGCCCTGAATTTCAGCATTTAGGCTAGGGTTGACACCAGCAATTTATTGCGCAGAATTAGCGGATTTTGTGTGATATCACCAAAACAGAGATTTGCATTCAAGTCAAAGGAAGTTGTTCACACCTTTGCAATTTGTCCCGCGGTAGAAATCTCCCGTCGCACAAAAAGGTGCTGGAGCTATTTTCGGGAGGTTGTCGCAGTTTGGATCCCAAAGACATCTCTATGCATTGCAAACTCTGCCACTATCTTAACAACTGTCAAGATAAGCTATCAGTCACATGAAACATGTACTGTAAGAAGGAGCAATACAGCAGCACTATTGTGTAACACTACAAAGCAAGAAGCAGAGCTTGAATAGGTAATGAGGAAATACTGCTGTTCTGTTTTATATCTATCTAAAAACACTGAAAATAATATAGATTTCATTTAATGTAATAGCTGGTTACATATTTGTTGTTATAAGAAAAAAATGAACAAAAAACAAAAACATTACTAAAGAAGTCTATAGCAGAAATATTAGGGGTTGATTATATAGGGCATATAGGATGGTGCTGACAAGCATAGGAATTTCCCATACTCAACAGCGTCATATAGGGGCACTTGTGCCGTGCGAACGCCATCGGCCTGGTGTATAGCTTTTATCAATGAACCCTTCATCGTGGTCTTGGTGGAAGATAACAAAAATAAAGGGTAGTTCCACTGCTTTGATTTCTTCTACAATGATCACTGGATCTGGTCACTGCAGACTCTGGCAAATGTAGAGACCAACTGAACTCTTTTAGAAAGTTGCACGACCATTTCAGGGTGAACCAAAATGATGGGCTTTCAAGGTCTTACTAGTAAGAATGCCCCACTACCACAATCCCAGCCTGTCACCTGCCAGTCATCTTCAGCTACCAACCGCTGCTGTCTGTAACAACAGCAATCTTGCAGCATCGTTCTGGCACCCCCACTGAGTCAGACCAACAGAACTGCATTTAACAAAGTTCATGCTTCCTGTACCCAAACAGTGACTGCAACTGATTGGATGCAGTCAGCATTCACCTGACAATTTTACACCTGGCTCCTTCGACAAAAAAGTAAAAATTCTATTAAAGCTTCTTGGAAGAATATCAGATATGTACAATGGAAATAACTGCAGGTGATGCAAGGGAGGTCAACTTACAAATTTCAGGAGGCAAATGTTTTCCCGGAGAGCTCCTACACATCCAGCAAAGCCCAGTGTAAACATAATGACCCCAACCACCAACACCAGCCATACTGGGTCAAATCCATGGAGTCGTGTCACCTTCGTTATGTCTGACAGTATCCCCTAAAAAGAAACAAGAGTGACAACTGAGTTACATACACCTGGTGTTTTCTTGAGAGGAAAACAAAATATGATTTTATAGATGTATTGCTATCATTCAGCAAACACTCCAATAATATACATACATAAAAAGCATCACGCTGCCATACCAATGATTTGGCTGCAAAGATTATTGAGCCTCTGACCCAGAACATGTACAGAGAAAAGGAATTCTGACACTTTCTGGCGCTTTACAGCTTACACGTACCAAGCCTGTGACATAAGCTGGCCAGAAAAATCAGTCGATTGAATCCAAACTGCCAGCTATGGTATTCAGCAGCCGTCTATGATATTTGAAAAATGTTCCGGAGGGCTTGGCAGCAAAAGGGTTAAAGTCTCCCTGTCAGCACAAGGTCATGTGTTTGTAAAGCATACCTTCAAAAAGACGACTAAATATACTTTTCCAGTACCAGTGGCCTGTATGTTAAAGAGCCCCCACTTCACTGCGCTCAAATACCTGTTTCCATTGCAGCTCGCTGTGGTTCCTCCCACCAACTCATACATCCTGTACATGAACAAATTAAATTGCATTTTTGTGATTTTTGTTTGTGCAAAAGATACCTATTTAACATGTCTGGGATTCCATTCAAGTAGCAGGTCTGGACAATATATTTCAGGGCTTTCAAATGAAATTGGATGACTCAATGATGCCAAGAACAAATGTTTAGATGAACAATTTCCTTGAACTGAGTGGGACCGGACAGCATGATTAGCAGATAAAGGCATCAAAATACATCATCACCAAAGTAAGAGTGCAATATTAGATATATTATTATTGATGTCCCTTAACAGGTTTACTTGATTTTTAGGGAGTTAGAAAGGAGAAAACACATAAATCTCCAAAACACCTACTGTATGTGGTAGGCTCAGCAAAGAACTTCCTGTCCTATAGCGCCTGGGGATGTAGAACAATAGGGATGATTACTATAAATACATGCATATCCTCTGTAAAGGAAGGATGTATTCAAAATACATTTATGTTGTATCTGTTAGGTCACTGACTATGTAAAATTATGTCTAGCCTTAGTTAACACCAGACAGAAGGAAAATAAAACATACATAAAGAAATACATCTGAATACTATAGATAGCATAATCCTCCCACATTAGCCAATATATTTAAAAGAGCTCAAGACAATTTTTATTTTCTTTTGGATAAAAGTAGAAGGGTTTAATATGTCATTATTTATTTAGTATGTGTCCCCATGGGGGAGATTTACCCTCTAATCCTCTAAGTCATGGGCATTCACTAAGACAAGAATAGAAGCTTCATAAAGTGTGGCCCAATTTTACTTGCTGATCCCAAAGGAAGGTCAGACTAGGTTCTAACCCATCCCCACTCTAGCCAAAACAACATTTTAGACTGGAGTTCCACTTTAGAAATATGTCGGCTGCCTTTTCTCATATCCTTCTGAAATTGCCAGTGGTCTGGATGTTAAGCTGTCACAATACAGTTCATCGATTAGACCTCTGGCTCTGCTCGCTACCACACAGTAGACACTGCTCTGCACAGAGTCGGCATAGCGGACCGGCCCTGGCTGCTGTGCGGGCCACATTACAAGGTCCGGCGGGCCGGATTCGGCCCGCGGGCCTTGTGTTTGCCACCCCTGTCCTATGGGGAACAAGCATGCATACTGGGAATTACGTAAAAGTGTCAAGTCCATTTTCACATACTTGTTCTGTGTCAGCAAATCCAATTTAGAGGGCTAGTATTAGAATCACACAATTAGCATTTTCATAAAGTGAACTTGGCAATGGCAAACCCCAGGTTTCTTCCATGACAAGTTTCCTTGAACAGCACTTTAAAGTATTCCACTGTAAGGAAATGTATCTTAACACTCTAACTACTGCTCCACAGGAGTTTGTCGGTAGGCTAGAAGCCAATACCAAAACGTACTTTTTGGGTTTGTTTTCCACCCCAAACATTTTAAGGGACATTATGATGAAGGTCCTTGAGTCTCAGAAAGTAATTACAGTGACCCTGTCACTATAGTAATGATTTGAAAAGAAGCCATACCTGTAAATGGAACCCTTCTTACCGTCCTCTGCTGAAGTCAGCGGGGAAATCTGTCAAGAATGTCAATATCTGTGGTACCCCACAGCTGTCACTGGTGCCTCCTGCTAATCTCCATGTCACAAGTATATCCTGTAACGGGTGGAGGTCAACAGGAGGTGTAGAGGACTCAGGAGATCGTCACTCCTGGAAGTGCAGCGCAGAACATTTTTCAATATTAGCACGGCATTTGGCTACGCAGGCAGCAGGAACGGTAAGTATTTTTTTTAGGCTTCTTATAGGTATGGCTAAATTTAGGTTCCTTACTATAGTGACAGGTACGCTTCAAGAGATTGCACAGAATACTCAGCAGACCATATGCCCATTTGGGGAATTAAAATATATCTCTCATTTTGGCTCTTTATTTTATTGTAGGTAACTCATATGACCTCTTCATGTTAACTTTCCCAGTCTATGCCCACAAGCACTTTCTGTGGAGAAGGTAGGAGCAGAGCAGGATGCTATTCAATAAAGGGGGACAAGATTTTTCCGCCCCATTTCGCTTACATTTAGCTACCCTGCATGATAAAGTTTAAAACACTAACAACTCCATTGAATGTAATCAGAAAGGAAAATACCCGAGCTTAATATGTGCCTGAGAGCTGGCCAAAATGGCCCCAAGAAGAGGCTACTAGCACTGCACATAGCCCCAGAGAAGACAGATGTCACCGTGTTACACAATGCACTATATGGCTCAGTCTTACCAGCCATAACTAGTAAACCATGAATCTCTACAGTATACAAAAAAGGATGTGCTGTTAAATGCCACATTTTCATTTGTAACAGTATACGAAACTACAAGCTCAACTTTAAATGAACTGCTGTCAACATTTAAAGTTGAGAATTAATGTAAATAAATAATTGGGACTTGTGGTGTTTATGAATCACAGAAAGGCAAGTAAAGATGGTAAAAAAGGATAAACCAGTATAAAATAAAAGAATCTACCTGAGATGAACTCGTGCTGACATTCTTACATTTCTCTGGAGAATTGCTGCAAGGAAGTGCTCTGCCTATGTGTGCAGTGACTATGTTGCTGTTGGGGGGCATTAAGGTGAACCTGTTGCTTTGCCCTGAATAGGCAAACCACAAGTTTATAAAAGGGATTATTTTGTCTCAAGTGCACAGCCAAACTTTTTTTGTTTGCTAAAGAGTTAGTAAAGCAGGTATCTTAAACTCAGATTAAATCTTACTAAATCTTTAGGGGGGGATGGGGAGGATTATGTCTCCTGAGAGCTGCACCAACTTCATTTAAAAGAAGGATTATACCACCTTGGAACATGAAGAACTCCAGGAAAAACTTTTATTAACCCCAGCAGTGGGGCTACCTTCACACTGCAAGGGTTAACTGCTCGTTTTTGTCTAGGTAAAAAAACAAACAAAAAAAAAAGCTATACTCAGCTGAACCGCAGAGCTGGCTTGTTCTTAGACCGGTCCTTCCAGCCTGTCTCCCCCTTTGCTGCAGCAGTCTAAGGTCCCCGAGTCATCACGTTCACGTCACAATGCTAAGGAACATTCCAATGCTGCAGCGTAAGAGACAGGCTGTGACAGCTAGCCGTCTTGGAGCTTCAGGTGAGTATAACTTTGTTATTCTTGAACCTAGACAAAAACAAGCACTTAACTCTTGCAGTGTGGGCGCAGCCCCAGTGCCGATACCGATTGGCCGGGAACTCCCAGTATCAGGAACCAGGGGATGGGTAATGACTCGCTGCCCGGCTTCCTCATTGGCCAGCTTCTCGGCCAATCAGGAAGCCGGGCGACATGTAATGAACCACCACCCGGCTTCCTGATTGGTCTAGAAGCTGTCCAATCAGGAGGCTGGGCAGCGGGTCATTAACTGCCCCCTGGCTTCCTGATTTGCCAGAAAGCCGGCTCCATGCTTCCTCGTCACCTGGTGACGAGAGCATGCACCTGGCTTCCCGAAAAAAAAAAATATTGGTACTTGATCCCGAAAAACTGGCATCAGTGCATCCCTTAAAAATATATATATTTTTAAGGGATGCCCATAAAACACCAGTTTGGCAGGCTTGGGTTAAAGCATCTCCCAGGTTTATAACATTATGTTTGTCCCAGATAGCAAGATTTTCCTTCACTTTGTGTGATCAGGAAGTGAGTAGATTTATGATCAGTTAAAAAAAAAACTGAGGTTCTAACCCTTCCCTACTTTTATCCCATAATAATATCAGTCATAACTGAAATGGAAACATAGCAGAAGAAAAGCAGGCTACACACTGGATTCCACTGGAATAGAGATCTCTATGACTAACCCCATAATTGGGTGAAATGCGTCAGTGTTGCAGTGCTTAGGCGGTACACCAGTGATGTAGTACAAGCTTCAATAATCTATTCCAGTGGCCAGCTTTTCTTCTTTTTGATTGGGCTCATATTGGAGTGAAGACATGCTCCAAGCGGCAAGCACCCGGCTCATTCCTTCCCTGAGCTGTGGAGGAGTGGTGCTGCTTTTGTGTATTCTCCTTAAAATGGAAAACATGTTGTAATATATCCACCAATTCTGGCTATACTGTAAAATCTTCTTGTAACACACTAGGACTATCATGCCACATCTGTTGTCCTTGGCCTTTTTGTGTAGACAAATGCGCTTATCACAGAAAAGTACTTACTTTCTCACTCCAAGCCCACAGGCCAATTCCTAGCAGAACCATTCCGGATAACTAAAAAGAGAACAAAAAAGAGATTATATACAGCTGGAACACTGTGTTCTGTTTTATTACCACAGCTGTTTATAAACACACAAATGACAAAACCACCCGTCCACACTCTTCACGGTACATGACGTCTTAACCATTTACCTACTATCTAGTATTGTCTGATGAGAATGTAATCATTAACAGCTCTTTCTTGTATGGGATGGCATCAGTATATCATCAGATCACATAGATATCAGTAGAAAATTTATGTAGAAAACTTTCTGTTGTTGGTGAAAAATTATCATTAAAACATTTGCATATTACCTGCCAATGAACATAATCAATACTGGTGAACCCAAAATAAAATGCCTTAACATCTATACACTAAATTAGACCAATACGTGTTAGGGTGCCTAAGGACAGAAGAGCCCTTCAGGCCTTATCAGAGAGTCCTCCAACACCTACAAGCCTCAGAGCTTTCTATGGCTGGAAATGTCATGCATATTAATGCAGAGAGTGGGAGATGAGCAGTGAAGGCAGACTTGGCCATGTCTGATTAATTTATGGTGCATTCACAGAGATCAGTCACAATAAATTGAGATGAATGGATTTCACATCTGTGTGCTTGGCAGAAGCTGATGGGAATTCCATTTGCCAGCCGCTTATGTTCACGAAGGTGCTGTACCACCTGTGCTGGCTCCATGGAGGCTTCCAAGAATGTCTGGCCATAAGCAAACCAGAGCATGATCTTACTGCATCTGAGGAATGATATTCTATTTAGGGGTATGTTAAAGCGATACTAAACACGGACACTCGCACAGATATGCAGTTCGGGTGAGCGTACGGCGGCGTACTCCTATAGAGAAAAGGCTGCAGCATGCAATCACACGCAGCACCTGTCCTTCCCGGGAACGGCCCGATATGGCCGTGCACGCCACACGGATCTGTACGGGTCGGATCTTAGTAATGTGAATGAGGCCTTAACAACAAAAATGGAGCTCACTTGTCCACCATTCAGCTGTAGAGCCTCAAATCATCTCTGAATTTGTGCTGACACTTCCTTCTGGAGGGTGGCTACTTTTGTTCCCCATGGTCCCTGTGTGTGTTGTAAAGTAGCCACTGCTACAAGCTCACTCTTGTGATAAACTACAATCTCATGTTTAGTTTACTAAATTCTATTGAAATTATAGTTTGTCATGGGAGTGAACTCGGAGCTGTGGCTACTTTATAACACACACACAGAGAAATAGCCCCCCTCCAGAAGGAGGGTCAGTGTCAGCACAAATCCCGAGTTGATTTGAGGATCTACAGCTGAGTGATGGAAAAGTGAGCTACATTTTTGTTGTTAATAGTTAACATCCATTTCAACCTTTGTAAGTGATAAGCATTTATTGTGGTAATGAAAAGGTGCAGTAATGATGTATACATGTGCACATTTTCAGCTTTCCTCATTTTTTTAAAATTAACTTTTTATTAGGCCTGAAGCCTAAAAATGTTCTCGACAGGAAAATCAGTAAGACACCAGGGTCGGATTGTAATTAGGCTGTAAACAGCTACCCCCCTCCATTTTATTCAATGTAATACGATCAGTAAACACCAGCTCTGCCTATGCACCCGATACACTGTCCAGAGGGGAATAGGGGGGATTGCCACTATGAATACTAATAAATTGGAGAACTCAAACAAAGCTTGCAAAACAGAGGCATTGCCATAAGAATATGAAGAGGAAAGCTAACAAAATATGTAAGTTGCTGTTTTCATATAGATCAACTGCATATTCCTAGTTCATGTGCACTCTGTTCATTGCTGGCATATGTTTTTGAAAAACACCTCTGCAAAAGGTAGAAATGGGCTTTAAGGTTCTTGAATGTATTTTTAAGATTTAACTCCTGAGTTTAGTGTCTATGTAAGGAGGAGGAAGAGAAGACATATGGGAGAGGAGTAATTAAAATTTCAGTTATTAATTCTAAAACAACAAGTTGTGGTGGTTATACATAATCTGTAAACTCTTGGAATAAAAATGTTTTATCTTGTATGTATGTGGCTGTACATTATCAACATGATTTTCAGTGTTTGATATATATTTTCTTTGTGGCCAGGAAACACTGATGTAAACCTCTAATGAGCTGCTACAGGTACAGAAATCCATTAATCCTCAATCTGCAGATTGGTTCAGCATATTGTAATATTGCCCTTTACACGTAAACAGCACTAGTACTGGATTGTCTCTAGAGTAGAACCCTACTTTCAACGCTCAGAGAAAGGAGATTACAAAATCTACTGACACCATTAGAAAGCATTGGTCTGATGGGACAGATAACTAGACTACTGTAATTGTAGTAAATAACCAGCTTCAGGCTGAGGAGCTGGCAAAGGAGAAGTGAGCACAGAGCTGATGAAATCTATGTATAGACATTGCACACAGGAAGAGGTAGGTAAGACGGACTAACCAACAAGCACCAGAGACGGAAAACCTGCAAGGACTGTGCAAGATGAAGAAAAAGCTATTATACTACAGCCTCAAAATAAATATAAAACAAAACAACACAATCTTGTAATATCGGCCAGCACAAGCAGCCATTCACTGCATAATGTTAACACTGTAATCTACTACCAACTCTTGTTTAAATAATAATATAATCATCATCATTCATCATTCTTATATAAAATATTATCTTTGAACATTTATTAGTAATCACTATTTACTTATAACAGTGTACTCTAAGCTGTGAAATCAAACATTCATTTAGTGCAAACTGCCATTCCATTATTTTCCCAATGTATTCACTTTTTTCCCTGTGACAATGTGTCTGCCAGGTTGTCATAAATAAAACATATTTGGGGTTGACAGTCCTCAGCTTCCTTCCCTTTCCAGTTTTTTTTTTGGGGGGGGGAAAAGCATCTACCGTATATACTCGAGTATAAGCCGAGATTTTCAGTCGGCTTATATTCCGGACGGCTTATACTCGAGTATATACGGTATTAACTGTTTCTTATGCTAAAAACTGCAACATAGTATTTCCAAGAATGTATGCAGGTTATTTAAGGCACAAAGCAAATACACTACAAAGCCAAAAGTATTGGGACACCTGCCTTTACACACATGAACTTTAATGGCATCCCAGTCTTAGTCCGTAGGGTTCAATATTGAGTTGGCCCACCCTTTGCCGCTATAACAGCTTCAACTCTTTCGGGAAGGCTGTCCACAAGGTTTAGGAGTGCGTCTATGGGAATGTTTGACCATTCTTCCAGAAGCGCGTTTGAGACGTCAGGTACTGATGTTGGACGAGAAGGCCTGGCTCGCAGTCTCCACTCTAATTCATCCCAAAGGTGTTCTATCGGGTTGAGGTCAGGACTCTGTGCAGACCAGTCAAGTTTCTCCAGTGCTTTGTGCACTGGTGCGCAGTCATGTTGGAACAGGAAGGGGCCATCCCTAAACTGTTCCCAGAAAGTTGGGAGCATGAAATTGTCCAAAATGTCTTGGTATGCTGATGCCTTAAGAGTTCCCTTCACTGAAACTATGGGGCCAAGCCCAACCCCTGAAAAACAACCCCACACCATAATCCCCCCTCCACCAAACTTTACACTGGGCACAATGCAGTCAGGCAAGTACCGGTCTCCTGGCAACTGCCAGACTCAGACACATCCATCGGATTGCCAGACAGAGAAGCGTGATTCGTCACTCCAGAGAACACGTCTACACTTCTCTAGAGTCCAGTGGTGGCGTGCTTTACACCACTGCATCCGATGCTTTGCATCGGATGCAGTGGTGATGTAAGGCTTGGATGCAGCTGCTAAGCCATGGAAACCAATTCCATGAAGTTCTCTACACACTGTTGTTGTACCAATCTGAAGGCCACATGAAGATTGGAGGTCTGTAGCTATTGATTCTGCAGACAGTTGGCGACTTCTGCGCACTGTACTCATCAGCATGCGCTCACCCCGCTCTGTCATTTTACGCGGCCTACCACTTCGTGGCTGAGTTGCTGTTGTTCCCAGTTGCTTCCACTTTGTTATAATACCACTAACAGTTGACAGTGGAATATTTAGTAGCAAGGAAATTTCACGGATGGACTTATTGCACAGGTGGCAACCTATCATGGTACCACGCTTCAATTCACTGAGCTCCTGAGAGCGACACATTCTTTCACAAATTTGTAGAAGCAGTCTGCATGCCTAGGTGCTTGATTTTATACACCTGTGGCCATGGAGGCGATTGGAACCCCTGAATCCAATGATTTGGAGGGGTGTCCCAATACTTTTGGCAATAAAGTGTATGTGCCTATTCATGAAGGAAGGCATGCAAGGTTGCATTTTCTGAAGGAGAGCAGAGATCAGACAATAGTGTGGATACTAGGCAGAGATTTAAAAAAAATGGAGAGACTGAAGGACATGCAGAAAGGAGGAGAAGATTGTTGAGCAGGCATAGTGAAAGAAGGCAGATAGAGAAGGCGAAGAGTGGGTAATGTGTTCAATGAAGAAGAAATACAGAGACTGAGGGGGTTGCCACAGAGCAGGAGATCAGTATTAACCAAAGAGTAGGAGAACACAGGAGGACAGACTTAAAATTTCAAAGAGGAGAAGGAAGACAATAGATACAGGGTGCAGAGATGAGGGACTAGAGTGGAGACTAAAGAGAAGCAATGCAAAGCAGGAAAGAATGGAGGAGGAAAAGGAAAAGAGCAAGCACTAGCTGCAAAGGAGGAGAAAGAGGGCAGCCCAGAGATGGCATTGTGTTTGTGAGAGTGTTCCGTGGACTGTGCACACACACACATATAAGTGGGTCAACAGGTTGGCATGGCTCTGTTTGCTTGGCAGTTTGGAACCAGTGGCGGTCCTTGTGTGCAGCTGTGGTTCTAGTTAATATTTTATTCCGTAAAAGAGATTTGCAAATTTACAGCAATTGAACCAGACTTACTTCTCACCGGTTACCACAAACAGTGTAATCATTCTTGTTTTAGAGCTGAAAAAAAAGCCTCAGCCTGGGCAGGGAAGGATAGGTGTACTGAAAATAGTGTCTGTGTGCATTTTATGAGCCTTGCCTTTAGTGTGCAACCCAGGCACATGCCAGAAACAGCTATAACCTCAACTGCTTAGCAGTTTGGCCCCAGTGGAAGAAGTCCTTTTGTAGAACTGCAGTTCCAGAGTGCATCTTCACCATAACGCAGCCTCAGCTAACTCCGCTAGCTCCCAGCCAATGACCAGGGTGCATGCTCACCCTTTTCCTTAGCTAGATAGGCTCGACCTGTGGCTCCATATACTATTTACAGCTGTCTGTCCCTGATATGTATGGGACATTGAAATCCAGGACTTATAAGTATCATAGCCACGCTAGGCCAGTGCTTCTAGATTCAGTAAGCTTAACCTGCAGGTCAGTGTGTTAATGTGTACCGCTTTTGTCTGCACAATATTGGGAGTGAGTCATTTTCTGCACAAAAGAAAAGATCTGACTCTCATTTGAGTCAGTCTCTTACAAACTGGCTGCCTAGAAAACATTATTAAAATATAAAGAGGGGAATTTATCACAGTATACAGTTTTCCTAACCACAATGTCTTCAAATCTGTTGCAACCAATCAGCTTCTCTCTTTTATTTCTAAAGCTTAACTGAACAAACTGAAGAGAGAAGCTGATTGGTTGCATGGTCAACTGTTCCAGATTCTGTCTGCTCCAGTGTGGATAAATTCACCTCTCTGCGTTTGTTTGTGCTACCTGAACTTGAATGATAATGTTCTGCTTTCGGCAGCACATTTGGATCACAGGATAACAAACTTGGTTATCCAACACACAGTATACATTTTCTATACATTTGTATATGCTAAACTTACCCAAAATATGATGTTGTAGCTAAACAGCAGGTACTTGTAACAGCAGCTGACCTCCGCAGTGCTATACCGATAGTAATGCATCTTGCCAGCAGGAAAGATCTTCTAAGGAAACAAAAAATACAAGCAATAAGACCTGTGTATGAAAAAATATCTCCAAAAACCATGAAGAAGTGTTTGTAAACACCAAATCCATTTTTCAGTATGTTTGATACCGTTGTATACAGTCTCACGGTATACAGTTTTCCTAACCAAATTTTCTTCAAATCTGTTGCAAAGTTTAATTAATGGAAATGCCCAATGATAGACCACATGGGCAGTCCAGCAGCCAGGTGAGGTTTATCCAGGCCTGCATTAACTGTAAAGAAAGCAGATTTATACATGCCAGTCCATCGGCCCATTTGCAAAACTTCACCCTGTAGAGCTTGCAGAGCTAATCCAATTTGACACCTCAGGCTGGTTCCACAGCAGTTTTCCCACTGTGGTTCTTCCTGTTGACCTCTGCAGGACACAGTAGTATAGTTACTAGGGATGCAACAAAATTTCGGCTGCTGAGAAATTTTAGTCCAAAATAGTACTTTTGTGCAAAATGCCGAAAGTACCATAAGGGCCAGAAATGCGGCCGGAAATTCTGTGCATCCCTAACATCTCTCCTCCCCGCTGGGTGCTGGCCTGTGTCCCATCCGATCACCGCTGCTCTTCCCTGCACGGGTCGGCAGAGGCAGCAGGGATCCGAGGAGACAAAGACCGGCGTCCAGCGGGGAGGAGATAAGGTTTCAGTAGGCCGAGCGGGAAGGAGACAGTCCAGGATGCCGAGTGGGGCAGTACAGGGCAGAGACAGCTGTCACAGGAACCGAGCTCTCCTCCTACACCGCTCGGGTTCTGTGACAGGAGGAGAGTCAGGATACTAATCAGTGCGGGGGAGGGGTCAGATGTCATAGGAGACCGATCTCTCCTCCCGCACTGCCCCGCTGAGCCTCCTGTGACAGCGAGTCAGGATGGAGAGCGGAGTACAAACACTCAGCGATCAGCTGATTACTGTGTGTTTGTAAATAACTGTAGGTATAGTACGCTTACTGTGTCCCCAGTTATGATGGAACAGGAAATGCTCTACATCACTTCCTGTTAATTCATGATTGTGGACATAGTAACTGATACTATCTCCACAGTTTATGAATGGGCAGGAGCACTCAGTAGTGAGGCTTCCCGTTCATTCATAATAGCGGCTGCAGAATAAGAGATTGAGCACTCTGTGTTTTCTTAATCTCTTTTTGGTGCATCTCCAGTAGTTACTGCAGGACACAGCAATGATGTAATGGTCAGCGGGAATAACCATGGTGTTCAATGGAGGACATGCTATTCCACCCCCCCAGAAATGCAGAATAGAATTGATGTCAAGAGCTCTTTACAGGGTAATGCATTTCAAATTTAGTTGACTCCCTGACAGGGTCACATAAAGAAAACTGTATAAATAAAGTAAAGCTTGTAACATACTTAAAAACAGATTTTGAGTTTACATACACTTTAAATTGGTTACGTACTAGTTCTTCATCAAAGGAACCCTCTACTGAGAAAATATTTAGGTTGCCAATGCTGGCCTCTTTATTTGCAAAAAGTAGTTGACTTGTGGTTATTCTCTACAGGTTTGCTTTAGTAATATGGTTTTATTAGCGGTTTCTCAGTCATAGCCATGTAACAGACAGTAAAAAAAACAAAAAACTAAAAAAGACAATTGTGAGAAAACGTGGGTGCATGATAGAGCCGGCATACTAATTATACTTGTCTTCAATGTGAACTTGAAATCTACTAGAGAATGTTGACCCTTCTCTGACATGACTCCACCCTTCTGTTTGGCCTTGTGCCTGCCTGATAGCTGTACAACAAAAGAGGAAGTGTCTGTGAAATTACATTGGTTGCAGAATGAAGCATTCTTTGTCGCTTCAACTTCCATGAAGTAAATGACAGAGAAAAGACTTTTCAAGAGTAATGCAGTGAGCGACCGATGGGGTCCACCCGAAGAACTGCTAGGCGGATCCAATCGGAGTGGCCGTGTGAAAGGGGCCTAAGTAGGAAATTATATACAATAGTTTTCTCTCTTTTTTTAAGGATTTTTTTTCCCCTTTTTTGTTTATCTGGTGATCCTGTCAGTAACATACTTCCTGTCCCCGGGGGAGCAATGCTTACTCACTAGGCTGTATCTATACAAAAGCAGTGTTGTCATCTTAGGACAGGAAGTCTATCATGACTACAGAGCACCACCACCTCTCCTTACCTCCATAACAAAGAGGAGGAGCTTTGTGCTTTACAGTGCTGAACTAGACAGGGCTATTAACACTGCTTGACATTTCAGTGCAGCACAGGAAGTTATAAAAGACAAATAAGAGTGCAATGTTAGAGTTGACATACATTTAATTAAAGCAGGCATCCCATAATGAGCAAGTAATAGAACTCTTCACAACCAGGGCTGCAACCAACTAATCAATAATAATCGATAATGAAAATAGTTGTCAACTATTCTCATTATCGATTAGTTGTTGGATCCCCTAGCTCTCTCCTCCACGCTGGGAGGAGGGCACAGTAAGCAGTGGCAATAGCCAGCCGGCTATTGCAATTTGAAATGGCCAATAGCAGGCTGGCTATTGCAGCAGCCCACTACCTGCTATATTTACATTGAGCTGCCATCTGTGGAATCTTGCCACCGGTAGATGTCATTCCCTGGCTGAAGCTATTCAAGCGCCATGAGCTTACAATACTATTTTTTAAGGGGAAAAAAAAAAGAATAAAAGGGTGGGAAAAAAAGTCATTTTCAGTTTTGGCCTGACAAATTTTGCTGCGGGACGTGCGTTGCAGTGTTATTAATTTCAATGACACCCCAAACGCGCATCCCACTCACAGTGTGATCGCCTGCACTGGAACGCACGGTACCGCAATGCTGTGCGTTCCAGTACAATGCGGTTGCAAAAAATTGTGCATGCAGTTTTATTCTGAATAAAACTTTACGTTTGTAACACTGCATTTGCGTATTTTATTAAACTAAGGATGGTATTTAATGTTTTTTATCCAATCAAAAAAATAATCTGCCAACTAATTCATAAAGAAAATAATTAGTTGCAGCCCTATTCACAACTTTGCCCAAGTGCAAAAGAAGTTTTCTTCAAATCCAGATCTCTATAGATCAATAACATCATAGGACTACTACACAAAATACAGATATCGTTTTGAAATGCCTTTTTTTTTTTTACAAAAAGAGAACCCATTAAAATTAATAGAATGACTAAAATTTTCACTGGTAACTGCTTCTACATGTTGAAAAGGTCAATTAAGAATAAAAGAGTTAAGAAACATTCCGAGCTTTAGAGTTCCTGAACAAAACATAGCTACAAAGAAAGCGTTCTCCCAGTTTCCTGCAGGGAAACAAGAGAATATAATACGAGCACCGCACTGGGTCTCTTCTATTGAAGGGAGTACAAAGAATTCCCAAAGGTTTACTCGCTCTACCTTCACTCTACGCCACTGCAGTACTGAACATAAGCACAATGGTAGACTTTGTGAACTGGTAGACCTAGGGATATTCTGCATAATAAGTCCTGATCGATCTGAACAGCGATCAATATTCACTTGAATCCAAGTCCTAAAAGTACATCTCACAAAGCTTGACACATGAATGCAGTAAAAGTATATTTATTTGAGATAAAAGGCAGCACTATAGAATGTCAAACAGCTTCCAGCAATAGCATAACAGAAAAAGCAACAACGATGACAGCCAATGGGGGGCATTTGCAACAAACTGCAAAGAAACTGCATTGGAAAAAAGACGTACAATGTGTCGAATTTGGTGCAGAAACATACAGTGGGACAAAAAAATATTTAGTCAGCCACCAATTGTGCAAGTTCTCCCACTTAAAAAGATGAGAGAGGCCTGTAATTGGCATCATAGGTAGACCTCAACTATGAGAGACAAAATGAGAAAACAAATCCAGACAAATCACATCGGCTGATTTGGAACGAATTTATTTGCAAATTATGGTGGAAAATAAGTATTTGGTCACCTACAAACAAGCAAGAGTTCTGGCTCTCACAGACCTGTACCTTCTTCTTTAAGAGGCTCCTCTGTCCTGCACTCATTACCTGTATCAATGGCACCTGTTTGACCATGTTATCAGTATAAAAGACACCTGTCCACACTTTGATATTGACCAAATACTTATTTTCCACCATAATTTGCAAATAAATGTGTTCCAAATCAGTCAATGTGATTTTTCTGGATTTGTTTTCTCATTTTGCAGAAATCTAAAAATTGCTCTAATCTATAAGGGGTATACAGGTGCCAGAGCTGAAATTTTAAAAAAACAAACCAATAAATGTATTTTAAATGCAACTGCGATTTCAAATTCTTTCAACAGCACTCAAGACAGAGATAAGAAGGAGCAGAACATGGAGCCAATTGAAAAAAAAAAAATACACACACACACACTATATTACCAAAAGTATTGGGACGCCTGCCTTTACACGCACATGAATTTGAATGGCGTCTCAGTCTTAGCCTGTAGGGTTCAATATTGAGTTGGCCCACCCTATGCAGCTATAACAGCTTCAACTCTTCTGGGAAGTCCGTCCACCAGGTTTAGGAGTGTGTCTAGAAGCACATTTGTGAGGTCAGGTACTGATGTTGAACGAGAAGGCCTGGCTCGCAGTCTCTGCTCTAATTCATCCCAAAGGTGGTCTATCGGGTTGAGGTCAGGACTCTGTGCAGGCCAGTCAAGTTCCTCCCCCCAAAACTTGCTCATCCGTGTATCCTTTGCTTTGTGCACTGGGGCGCAGTCATGTTGGAACAGGATGGGGCCATCCCTAAACTGTTCCCAGGGGAGCATGAAATTGTCCAAAATGTCTTGGTATGCTGGTGCTTTAAGAGCTCCCTTTACTGGAACCAAGGGGCCAAACCCAACCACTGAAAAAAACACCCCACACCATAATCCCCCCTCCACCAAACTTTACACTTGGCACAATGCAGTCAGGCAAGTATCGTTCTCCTGGCAACTGCCAGACCCAGACACATCCATCGGATTGCCAGACAGAGAAGCATGATTCGTCACTCCAGAGAACAC